TCCTTGGGCCCTGCATCCACATGGGAGACCAGGAGGAAGCACCTGGCTCCTGGCTTCAGATCAGCGTGGTGCGCTGGCCACAGTGTACTGGCCACAGCGGCCACTGGAGGGTGAACCAATGGAAAAGGAAGACTTTTCAATCTGTCTCTCTCACTGTCCACTCTGCCTGTCAAAAAAAATTACATATGTTTGTGTGTGTCCGTATGTGTGTGTGTGAGTTAAAGAGACATAAAGAGAGGCAGGTAGGCCAGGAGAGACAAACAAGAAAACCTCTTATCCACTGACTGACTCCTCCAAATACCCACAGTAACCAGGGCTGTGTCAAGGCTGAATCCAAGAGCTGGGAATGTACTCCTGTCTTCCCACATATGAGTGGCAGAAACCCAATATCATGAGTTATCACCACTGCCTCCCAACATCTGTGTTACCAAAAATCTGGCATTGGAAACAGCTGCGAATCAAACCAAGCACTCTGAAGTGGGATTAGAGTCTTTATAAATTTTATCCATTTATATAAAGGACTAGATTTCCTTTATTTCATATATCAGGTTTTGTAAATAATTATTTATTTGTAAGGCTAAGTAGAGGGAGAGAGACAGAGACAGAGAGATGTCTTCTCTCTGCTGGTTCACTCCCTAAATGGCCACAATGGCTGGGATTCGGCCAGGCTGAAGCTAGGAGGCAGGTGCTTCTTCCAGGTCTCCTGCCTGGGTTCAAGGCCCAAGCACTTGGGTCTTCTTCTGCAGCTTTCCTATGCAAATTAAAAACAAAAATGAGATTTTGATATGTGATGATCTTTAACAGCCCTTATCTTGACTGTTGAGGAACTTTTTTTTATACTAATTTTTGAACTTTTAATTGTTGGATTAATCCTGTGACTATAATGTTAACTGTAAATAGATCTTAGTAAAAATAATTGGAATAGGAATGGAAGGAGGAAGAAGAGTGGGACCATGGGCAGGAGGAATGGTAGGATGGAAAGTATCACTATGTTCCCAAACCTATATATATGAAATACATTAAATTTGCATACTCTAAATTAAAATTTAAAAATAAGTGTGAGATACAATATTATCATAATAAAGAATAAAAATCATAAAATTGTCACTATATGAGCAGATGCAGAAAAACAACTTGTGAAAATTCAAATTTGTTCATGGGAACTCTCTAAAAGTTGTCACAGAAAGAACATACCTCAACACAATAAAAACCATAAACAATAAAAGCAGAGCTAACATTAAAGTCACTGATGAAAAGTTTAAAAAGTCTTTTGTCTAAGATCAGAAATAATACAAATATGTCCATGCTTATCATTTCTTTTCCATGTAATGCTGAAAATCCTAGAGAGAATTATTAGGCAAGAACAAAAATATCATCTGTATAAGAGGAAGAAGTAAAATTGTTTCTATTTGCCAGTGATAATAATGAATCCAATAAAAAACTGTTAGAAAATAAATAAATTCAGGAAATCTCAAGTTCTAAAATCAATATAAATATCATTAGTGTTTCTACAGACTAATAATATGTTATCTGGGAAAGAAACTAAGAAAATCATCCCATATATAGGAGCATGAAGAAATAATGTTTTAGGAAATAATGTATCCACATAGGTGAATATTTTATACACTAAAATTATAATACATTGATGAAATAAAGAAGATACAAATAAATTTTAAAAGTCTCTCATAATAAATTGGAGTAATATTATTAAAATAGGCATATGACCCAAAGCAATCTATGCATTCAGTTCAATTCCTATAAAAATAAAAACAATCTTTTATTCAGAAATAAAAAAAAAATTCTAAAATTTCCTTGGGACCAGAAAATATACTACATAGTCATAGTAATCTTGAGCCCAAAGAACAAAACTGAAGGTATCACACTTCTCCCTTGAAAATATATTATAAAGCTATTTTAATTAAACAGTATGACACCAGCATGAAACAGATACATAGGCCAATGGAATAGGATGGAAAGTCCAGAGAAAATATCCAAGGATTTAAGTCAACTTATTTTTGACAGACGTATCAAGGAAGCACAATGTGGATAAGATAGTCTCATGATAAATGGTTTTGGGGAAACTGTAAATGCAAATATAGAAGAATGAAATTAGTCTCTTTTCCATGTCATATACAAAAATCAACTAAAAGTTGATGACACACTTAAATGCAATACCCAAAACTATAAATCTACTGTAAGAAAACACATGGTGGAAGCTTTACTCTTCTGAGCAGTACTTTCTTGGATAGGACTCTAAATCTGCAGACACCAAAAGCAGGGATGGACAAATGGGATTGTGCAGTTGGTGAGAATGTAAAGTAGGACATCAGTCATCATGGAAAACAAAGCAATGAGAACAGAAAACTGTCAAATAATCCACCAACTGTGTTCCTGGATATATATACAAAAGAACTAAAATCATTATATTAAAGGGATAGCCCCACTCCCCTGCTCATTTCAGCACTGTTAACAACAACCAACATAAAGAAGTTACTTAAGTATCAATAAAAGGATGAATAATTAAAATATCTATGTGTGTATATATATGTAATGAAATACTAGTTAGCTTTAATAAAGAAAAGAATTCCACAATTTTCAGAAACATAGGTGAAATTACAGGACATTATATTGTGAAATAAGCTGAATAGACAAAGACAAATACTGTATTATCTCATGAATATGTGGAATTAAAAAATCTCACAGAAACAGAGAGTAGAAAGGTGGTTACCAGAGGCTAGGGTATGGGGCAGGATGGGGAAAGGAAAAATGTTGACCAAAAGGTACAAATTTTCAGTTAGTCAGGAGGATATGTTATAGTAATCTATGAAACCACTTGTTTGCCACAATTAATAATGCATTGTGTATCTAAAATTGCTAAAAGAGTAGTTTTTTACCATAACCAAAGATAATTTGGTAATTAGCATGATTAAATCTTTCTACAAACATACATACATTTTAAAGGTAACATCGGGGGCTAGTGCTGTGGCATAGCAGACTAAGCATCCACTTGCAGAACTAGTATCCCACATGGGTGCAAGTGCATGGGCTGGCTGCTCCTCTTCCGATACAGCTCTCTGTTTATGGCCTGGGCAAGCAGCAGATGGTGGCTCAAGTGCTTGGGCCCCTGCATCTATGTGGGAGAACCAGAAGAAGCTCCTGGCTCCTCGATTCTGATTGGCTCAGCTCCGGCCATTGCTGCCACTTGAGGGGTGAACCAGGATGCTGAGCTGTGTAGACGCTGGCTCCTGATTTCAGCCAACAGTCATCAGGGATCCAAGAACTGCTTTTGGAGGCCCAGGATGGATGGAGTAGTTTGGCCAAGGAGAGGGGCACAGGTTACAGCAACCAAGACCTGGCCCTGGGCTGCTGCAGAAAATCAGCTGGAGCAGCAAGGGCCAAGGGAAAAGGCCAGTGCACACTGTGGGGACAGCAAGATGCAGCATGCGACACAGGGATCTGGTGCCGGGAGCTTTTCAGGTATCTTAGGATCAAGGCCGGGGGTGCAGAGGCTGAAGGACCTGGAGCTGCAGCAGGAGCAGAGCCAAGCTAAGGCAGCAGGATGGGGATCACAACTTTCTCAGGCTCGGGCAGCTCCAGTATCAGCCTGGAAAACCAATATGGAACTACGCTCAGAGCTGTCTGACTCACTGTGCACACTGCAGCCTGAGGGCACACCCCTGGAGATCATTTCCAGTGCTTCCAGAGGAGAGACAAGTGGAAATCAAAGTACAAAGTGAAGCTCCTGGAGAACTGGGCATCCTAGAGACCCAGCTAGAGCAGTATTGCTGTGGGAGCCACCGCCCTTCAATAACAGCAATAAAATTTAAAATGAACCAAAACTGATGTACACTTAAAAATGAGGATGTGGGCCGGCGCCGCAACTCAATAGGCTAATCCTCCACCTGCGGCGCCAGCACCCTGGGTTCTAGTCCCTGTCGTGGTGCCGGATTCTGTCCCGGTTGCCCCTCTTCCAGTCCAGCTCTCTGCTGTGGCCAGGGAGTGCAGTGGAGGATGGCCCAGGTGCTTGGGCCCTGCACCCCATGGGAGACCAGGAGAAGCACCTGGCTCCTGGCTTTGGATCAGTGCGGTGCGCTGGTGGCAGCGTGCTGGCCACAGTCTCTCTCTCTTTCACTGTCCACTCTGCCTGTCAATAAATAAATAAATAAATAAGGATGTGATAAACATTAGAAACCATGGGTTCGGATATCTCAAAGTATTTTATCATGGCTCATTAGACAAAAAAATTATTATTCTCAAACAGAAGGGAAAAAAGGCATCTTGGGCCAAATATTAGACAGAATGTAACTGAAGTTTAAAGCCTTTAACAAAGAACTATGATATTTTGGCAAAAAGTAAGGAAATATTGTACAAAAACACAGCAAACGAGAAATCAATGAGGCAAAATGTATTGCAATTGGAAGCTCACACATAAGTTATAAAAGATTTAAATTACCCAGGTATGTTGGCTATATTAAATAAACAACAAAATAATAAAGATTTGGAGAACATAAACCCAATTTTAAAAATCCATATTTGTAGGTTTAGATGAATTAGATTAAAATGAGAACATCATATTTTTATAACTCACTACATTTAATCTACACTACAACTGAAAGTTTTCTTGCCAGATAAAATACAGAAAGCAGTTAAATGTGTTTTAGATATAAAGGGAACACATGGGATGCCATTGCTGAAGGCCAAGGCATTAAGGGGCTGGGCCACAGCTTTGGCCCCTGGCTTGAAATTTACATACAAGTAGTTTCTCTGCATTTCTATTTGCAAAATTAGTGGCCAGGCTTTAAAGAAATCACACTTGCTACATAAAATAGAATTTTGCATTTAAAGCAAGATTCACAAAAATTAAGTAATAAATGACAACAGAAACCTTAACTCCCCCCAAATCATACAAACGAAACCTATATTAAATGAAAATTGAGAAATACTCTCTGGAAATTCAGTTAACCAAAGAGTGAATAAAAGGAGAGAACACAATTAGGAGCTTGTTTTTAAATTACAATTTAAAAACGACACACTGTGCCCTAGACTCACAGCTACACAAAGAATGGCTCCATGAAATCGCAGATCCAGCATCACACTGGCGCTTGTTAGACCTGCAGAAATTTATGTTCATTTAAGACTAGTAAGTCATTTTCCTGCCGCGCTCAGGCAGAGGGCCGGGGCCGCGGGGAGAGGCGGGGCCGGGGCCGCGGGGAGAGGCGGAGCCCGGGAGCAGGGCCTGGGCGCCCCGCGGGGAGGTCGCGACCTTGACCTTGACGGGGCTGGGCCCTGCTCCCCTCCCGCCAGAGATGAGGGAAGATGGCCGTGTCTGGGCTGAAGGCCGAGCGGAAGTTCCTGGCGTCCGTCTTCCCGAGAACCACGGGCGATTCCGCATGGTCAGCGGGAAGCTGGAGGAGCTGCACTGCCCGTTCCTGGTGCCGCCGCCGGCGCCGCCGCTGCTCTCGCCGCACCGCAGCATCGCGGATCTGAGCCCTCTTCTTCAGAACGCGCTCCTCGGACCTCTCTCGGCGGCGGAACTGCACTATTATGACATCAAAATCCTGCAAGATTACGTTTTTTACACCACCGGGTCTGATTGGACAGCTCGCATAGCCGTCAGCATGGACGACACAGAAGACGCAACAAATCAGCATCTTTACAGCAGGGACGGGAACTCCAGGCCGCTCCAGATGGTAGAGAGGCGAGGCCTGGGTTCAGGGGCCAAGGGCCTCCCCCAGGGCTGCACCCTTTCACCAGTCCCCTGCTGGGACCCTCCTGCCTCCCCACGGGTCTTCCTGGGAGAATCCCACCTGAGGCTGCAGTAACCTGCTTAGGGTGAGGTGGAGAGTATTGGCTGTTTATTGGCTTCTGGGCCTTTTCCTTTTCTTCATATTTGTAACTCATTTCTCTGTGTGTCATTTGTGGTGGTTTTGATATTTATCTTAAGAATGTTTACAATTATTACATAATATAATCGTTTTATCTCTTGTAGATATTTGTTTTCTACTCTGCTTCTTGCCCTTTAATATTTTTTTTATCTCTTGCTGGTACTTAGTAAGTAGTGGAAATCTTTCTAGTAATCTCATTACATTTGTTTATTATTTGTATTTTTTTAGATTTTTATGAATTATCTCTATGTAAGTGTCATACTATATGACAGTTTTATTCCTTAGAAATTATCTTTACACCTTTGATTTACTTTTTGCCATTTTATTTCCCTGACGACCCTCCAGTAGGAAGTTGAAGATAAATAGTGGCAGCCTCCTGATCCAGGCTTACTTCCAGGGAAGAAAGCTGTCAGTGGTCCTGTATTAGCTGTGTTGTTCGTTGTAGGTTCCCTTTGTTCTTGACCAGATTGAGGAAGTCACTTTTTGTTTGTTTATTTTTACTGATAGCAAGTGTTTTTTCACTAGATGCAGAATTCTATTAAATGCTTTTCAACATGTAATCTAACTGATCACGTGATTTCCTTTTTGTATTTTTCACCTGTTTAGATGACCTGGTAACATTAACAAATCTTATATTTTTAATTATCTCTTGCTTGTAGTTTATTATATTTTCATACATGATTTCATTTATTATTTCATAATACTTTGCTTAGCCTATTTGTATCTCTGTTTATGAAAGGGCTGCTTTTAAATCCTGGTCCACTTGCCTCACCATTGATGTTAATGTTAGTTTAACAAAAGAAATTTAAAAATATCTTCTGCTTATTTACACTTTGCATAGGTCTGGGAATTTTTGTTTGTTTCCTTAGAAGTTTGGAGTATGCCATGTTTAATTTGAACTTAGAAAGATTTCACTTTAAAATTGTGTTTCTGAAGGATTTTCAGAGTATAGAATAAAATATTCAAGGACAACTTAAGAGAATCCAGAATAAACATGACAATGAGGGGGATTTTGGACAACTGGCCTTTGTTTCTGGTAAGTCAAAGAAATTTTAAAGCAAATGTGCAAGATTAAATGACAGAAAAGGGCTAAAAAACAGATCAGTCATTAGTCCTGCTTTGTTTCTTGGACATGTCTGACGTGGAAAAAGGGAAGTAATCGTTCTTCATTAAACTGGGTAGAGGCCGGCGCCGTGGCTCAATAGGTTAATCCTCCACCTGTGGCGCTGGCACCCCGGGTTCTAATCCCGGTCGGGGCACCAGATTCTGTCCCAGTCACTCCTCTTCCTGTCCAGCTCTCTGCTGTAGCTTGGGAGTGCAGTGGAGGATGGCCCAAGTGCTTGGGCCCTGCACCCACATGGGAGACCAGGAGGAACACTTGGCTCCTGGCTTTGGATCAGCGTGCTGGCTGCAGTGACCATTTGGGGGATGAACCAATGGAAAGTCTCTCTCTCACTGTACACTCTGCCTGTCAAAAATAAATAAATAAATAAACTGGATAGAAATGCACTGTTGAACAAAAATAAATATTCATGAAATCATATAACCGTGATGCTCATAGAATGTTCTCATATAGGAAAAAGTAATGCTGTATTTTCATTATGAGATCTGGGATGATATGAGTCTTAAAAGTTAATAGAAAATGTGTACTATGAAAAAAACTATGCAGGGATTTAAATATTTTTGCACAAAGTACATATCTTTTAATTCCATTTTTCTACAATCTCAATATTCCCTTGTGTATATATGCTAAGCAATCTCCTATGAATCCCATGTTGTTTTTGTACTACCCAGTATTCAATGTGAGTCTTAACCTACTTGTTCTAAGGTTGTACATTATGACTAAAAAGAAATAAAACATCACATCTGCAGTTGTTAAATTTTGGACCTTTTTATTTTCAAAGCTTTACTTATTTATTTGAAAGGCAGAGTTGCAAACACAGAGAGAGATTTTTTTCATCCACTAGTTCACTCCCTATATGGCCACAGTGCAGAGCTGGGCTGATCTGAAGCCAGGAGCTAGGAGTTTCTTCCAGGTCTCCCATATGGGTGCAGGGGCCCAATTAGTTGGGCCGCCCTCCACTGCTTTCCCAGGCACATTAGTAGGGAGCTGGATGGGAAGTAGAGCATCCAAGACTCAAACTAGCATGCATGCGATTCCAACACTACGGTGGTAGGTTAACCTGCTATGCCTCAGCACCAGCCCCCAAATTTTGGACTTTTAAATCAGAAACTTCATGGATTGGAACTTAAAGATGCTGACCTTCCTTTCTTTCATAAATATTTGGCACTGATTACCAATAAACTCAGGGTGCCAAACTTCACTATTTGGATTCCTGTCTATGCTGATAAGCATCCACTGCCAGCTGTCTCTTTTATTTGAAATTTGGTTGTATTTAAACACAAAGCGACAGAAATACCAGCACTGCTGACACACATAGAATTTATGGTAAAATAAATAATACGTAACCCTTCAGTTGCAACAGTCTGTAGTTTCTGTTTCATCCTGTAAATTTTCAAAGCAGCCAAAGCCAACAAGAATAAAATGAGGAACAATAAGACTCAAAGACAATACTTAGCAATACTACTAATGTCAATGTTAAAATTTTAGTTACATGCCCTGCACCAATTAAGTTCTTTCAAATTCTGACCCAAGCACATAGATCCCCAAAACTACCTTAATGTACACTTAGTAATCTGAAAACAGATGTAGAAAAGTACTAATCTAAACCAACCCTCATTTCACAAGGGAAGACAGGAATCTACATATGCACACTGATTTAACACACTAACAGGAAAAGAAAGCCAAAGCAAAACTGTCTAAATGAGCAAAATTCTGATTATTGAGATTTCATATAATAACTTTATAGCTGTTCTCATGGATAATCCACACATAAATAATTATCCTTCATTTTCATAGATTTCATTTTCCAAATGAGGGCAAAATGGTGTCAGTAAGCTCTTTGAAGGGCATTATAAAAGCGATTAGCCAACCTTTTATGTGAGTGTAATCTACACATTCATTTCTCTAAGCTGGGAAAATGAAGATACTTAACTAGTAACTGATATGAATCAAGATTTCTTTTTTTTTTTGACAGGCAGAGTGGCCAGTGAGAGAGAGACAGAGATAAAGGTCTTCTTTCCAGTGGTTCACCCCCCAAATGACCGCCATGGCCAGTGCGCTGCACCTACCCAAAGCCAGGAGCCAGGTGCTTCCTCCTGGTCTCCCATGCAGGTGCAAGGCCCAAGGACCTGGACCATCCTCCACTACACTCCCGGGCAACAGCAGAGAGTGGACTGGAAGAGGAGCAACTAGGACAGAATCCGGTGCCCCAAATGGGACAAGAACATGGGGTGCCAGCGCCGCAGGCAGAGGATTAGCATAGTGAGCCACGGCGCCAGCCATGAGTCAGGATTTCTAATACCCATTAAAAACACTAAGAGAATTACTTACCTAAACTATTTTTGAAAATCAAATTAGGTAAAACTCAAATAAAAAAGACTACTTTAAGCATGTCTCCACTCTCACACTATTCTAAACCTTCCACTCTGGTTTTAAAAATTATCTCAAAAATTTGTTGTCAAACACCATAAATATTAAGAATATAAATCAATGATACCAGGAATTTGGCTAGCTATATTAAGAATTTGAAAAATATTGAGAATAAAGAAAATACTGAGGGGGCAGCAGATGGTGTGATTACAGTAGTCTCATATGAGTCCTGTATATGATTCACATTCACAAATAGGTTTATATGCAAGCAAAGACCTAAAATCAGCCTTAAATCTACATTTATGGCCAGTGCCATGGCTCACTAGTCTAATCCTCCACCTGCGGCACCAGTACCCTGGGTTCTAGTCCGGGTTGGGGCACCAGTTCTGTCCCGGTTGCTCCTCTTCCAGTCCAGCTCTTTGCTGTGGCCCGGGAAGGCAGTGGAGGATGACCCAAGTGCTTTGGCCCTGCACCCGCATGGAAGACCAGGAGGAAGCACCTGGCTCCTGGCTTCGGATCGGCACAGCACACTGGCTGTGGTTGCCATTTGGGGGGTGAACCAATGGAAAGAAGACTTTTATCTCTGTCTGTCTCTCTCTGTCTAAATCTGCCCATCAAAAAAAATCTACATTTATTTCTTCTCCTACATGTAGTTTATGTTTTTAATCTTTTGTAAAAATATTTTTCGACATATATTCATTTTATTACTTGTCTTATGCTACATTCTTAATTTATTACCTATGATTCTCACCGCACTCAAATTTTCAGATCAACTTTTTAGCAGTTGTTATTGCCTTCTCATTCAAGTTAGCTGAAAACATCACTATAAACTCCACATGTAACTTTATCCCATCATTCATGGTTTCTGGTCTTGAGGGTTTTGCTGTTTTTTTTTTTTTTAAATACCTTAGATTTTATTATACCATCCAGAATTTTTATTTTGTTTGAATTTCCACTGTTTTTCAAATAAAGTGTTTTTAATTTTCTTTTATTTTTTATTTTTTTATTTGATAGGTAGAGTTATAGAGAGAAAGGTCTTCCTTCTGTTGGTTCACTCCCCAAATGGCCCCAATGGCTGGCGCTGCACCGATCTGAAGCTAGGAGCCAGGTGCTTCTTCCTGGTCTCCCATGCAGGTGCAGGGGCCCA